GGGGATTGAGCCTGCAACCTGGGCATGTATCAAACCTGGGACCCTTCAGCCTGCAGTCCAATGCTCTATCCACAGAGCCAATCCAGCTAGGGCAAGAGTTGTGGGTTTTAAAAGCTCATTCGTTATAATGTGGAAAACAATTTGGAAGTCTATTTTTTTTTAAAGTCTAAGTATGCAGGGAAAGCATTATGCAAAAATGTATTAGGGAGATTGGATAGTGAGTAGGGCTTTTTCCGCCCTTTTCAAAAATTCCTAATCCTGTTGACACTCCATGTTCAGAAATGATTCTCCTGCAGAGAGTGGCTGCATTCCCTGGGAGACACGGTGCAAAGGGAGAAGGACTTGGGAGGGATGTGGTCTTAGAAACGTGTGTGTGCGTGTGTGTGTGTATGTGTGTGTGTGTGTGTGTGTGTGTGGTGGGGGGGGGAGGTGAAAGTGTGTTATCCACCTCCATCAGCTGCTCTTTCGCCATCAGGTGATAAACTATCAGAAATAGCTTCCTGTTTAACATCAACAGGTGATATAACTTCCTTTATCACTGTTTTGATCTCCCCTTGAATCCTGTCGTTGAGGCTGGAGTCTGTCAGCAGAGGGAAGGGGGTCCTGTCACCAGGGTTTGGCAGAGGAGCCTTGGGAGAGGGAGTGCTTCAAGCAGCCCGAGTGCGAATCCTTCCCCAGTGGCCTCTGGGCAGGAGCAGACTGAGTGCATTTGAGAGAATCATCTCATCTTCAGCAAACGCGTGCCGTGAGGCCGTGTGTGAGTTGCGAGCATACCCCATCCGCTCTCACAGAGCACTTTAATCCATTCACTCATTCATTCATGCCACAAACATTTGTTGAGTACCTACCAGGTACAGGCTGAGTTTTGGAGGCCAGGGATACAGAGAAGAAGACAGTGGACAATTCTTACTTTACTACTTAGAGCAGAGCCATGGACGATCTAATCAAAACTCCTTACAATTTCATGTGGTGAAAATGTAGCCCAGAGAGGCCCAAGGCCACTGTGGCCCGGGTCAAGTTGACTTTCTATTGATGCAGCACGATCCTAAGGAGAGTACACTGGGACAACCCAAAACATGTCATGCTCAAAGATCCTTCTTTGGAGCTGTGAGCACTGGAGGAGAGCAGACCACACAGACGAGCAGAGCAGTGTGAACGTCCCACGACGCTAACTGTTACCACATCTACACTGGACTCATGTAAAAGGATAAACAAAGTGGCCAATCATGAATCTCAGCCTGATTCCCCTAGGTTAACTGTAGCTGGAGTTAATGACTTAGAGGCCATGGCAGAGTTAGCAGCACAGGGTAGTGTATGTTGAAACTGGCAGGGCAAACCCTGAGGGTGTAGAGAGCCCAGCTAGGAAGTCTCGCTGAACAGCCGCAACAGCTGTCTCAGGTTGGCCTGATTCAATGTTCAATGGCAAAGAAGTTGTCCTTGAAAAATGATCCTCACCAGTTGCCGTATGCCCCATACACACCGTCCCAATCTACGGCCTCACCACGCACAAATTCAGAGTTGGGCCAAGTTGGAAGAGACTTTCGCTAATATCTAGAAACCGACTTCTTCATTTTATAGAGGAAGGACAGGAGTGCCCTGATGGGAAAGAGATTTGTCTGAGCTCACGCAGCGAGTTGGTGCCAGAGCTGGGGCTTGAACCCAGGCCTCCTGACTCCTCCTCCAGTGCGCTGCCACTCTACCAGGTGCTGTGCATATTCGTGGTATTTAAACGTGAGCGCACATGGAGAGAGAGAGACCACTAATCTCCTCCATCTAGTAAGCTGCCTGCACGAAGGAGCAGGGTAGGGCCCTGCTAAAGGAGGAGGTGTCATCTGTGGCTTCCCCCTGCTCTACTCAACTGAGCTAGATCATTATCTTCTGAGTAGCAGCCCCCACCCTATTGGAAATGTTGAAACATTTGCCACTGACCTCCAGCGACTGAGAAGCTTCGGGGTGGGGCGGGGGTGAGGGTGGGGGAGTGGGGAGATGTTTCTGTCAGGACATCGCTGAAACACAGCCTGGGATCAGACCTTGCTCATGGTCCCGGAGGTAAGTACTGTCGGGGCAGGTAGGATTTTAAATGATTTTGAGAAATGTGTGTCTGTGTGAGCATATCTACGTAGAGGTTTCAGAGGGGATTCTCCAATTATGTGTTGGCATTGCAGGAGGTGGAATTCGATTGCAGTTTGTTCTTGATGACATTAGTCTCTTGGTCCCTGAGACTAAAGATCTGTCTGCAGTAGCAGCAGCAACCAGCAGGGCTCTGGCTAAGGGGTGCACGGACTTTGAGTCCAGACAGAACTGGATCCAGAGAACTCTGCTAAACTGTTGTAAAGCCTCAGTTTCCTCATCTGGGAAATGGGCGTAAAACCACGCAAAGTGCCCAGTGTTATTATGAGGATTACAGACATGTAGTGCCCAGTTCAGTGCTCCAGTAGTAGCTATTAATTAATTACTCTTCTTCACTGGGAACCAGGTCCCTGAGAACATCTCCCTGCAGGTATTATTTCCTTAAGATTCACTCTGAGCTGCAAAGGACTGGTATATGTGGAGGGAAGCGGGCCAGCCTGGCAATTTAAAAATGTTATGAGTGAGCCCGGCTGGTGTGGCTCAGTGGTTGAGTATCAACCTATGAACCAGGAGGTCACGGTTCCATTCCCCGTCAGGGCACATGCCCGGGTTGCAGGCTCAATACCCAGTACGGGCTGTGCAGGAGGCATCCGATCAATGATTCTCTCTCATCATTGATGTTTCTACCTTTCTCCCCTCTCTGTTCCTCCCTGAAATCAATAAAAACATAATAAAAAATAATTAAAATGTTATGAATGGGATTCAGAAAATGCATGCTGTCGAAGAGAAAAGCCACGAAGCTGGGCCTTGACCGGTGCTGGAAGGGTCCAAGGTCTCGCGTACTCCTCTTGACAAATTCTGTGAGGGAGACACTTGACTTCCCTGTTAATGGAGAAGAAAACAGAGACTCTGGGCCATTAATCGGCTCCCCCAAGGTTAAACAGTATTTATTATATGCAAATTGATTTAATTGCAATGTGTACAGAATGCCAGGAAGTGTTTTCCCCCATCCATCACCTGTAAGTATTGTGGAGTGTAAAAGCGTAAAATATGGTCCCGGCCAATGAAGTGCTCACAACAGCATAATCTGTCGGTGCTTTGTTTCTCTGAAACTTGGTTGGGCAATCAATGAAACAGAACCATTTGGCCCTCCTAATTCACCTGGGGCTTGGTGGGAACTAGCAGAGGGATCCCTGAGCACTGCTTAAGCTGCTGGCAATTCTTTATATATTTGCTGATTTCGTCTTGGAACTGAATTACATTCAAGGTTTCATTCATTTCAAGTAATTGCTTGTAAAAATGCTTTCCCCGAAATTTCCAAGGTGCATCCACCTCTGGTACTTTCTTGCAAAACAGCTTTCCCCAAAAAATTATTCGTTAGAAATTTGGGATGACTTGTTTTCCTCCTAAAAAATGCTCAGTGCCTGCACTTAGAAATGTGTGTTCCTAGAGATGAGGCCTATCTGATTGAAACTCGAAGTTGCTATTTCTGGTTAACTTGAGTATCACCCTTTATGTCCATTTTACGAGGGTGGAATTCCAGAACAACAAAATGTCAGAAATTAGATCTAGTTAGCCCATCCCTCTCAGCTTATAAACAGGGGAACAGGATCGGAAAGAGGAAGTGAAATGCCCAAAGGGGCTGAATTTTAAAGGTTGCCATTTCATATTCTTCCAGATGTGTCCCACCCTCGGGGGAGGCTCCTGCCATGGTGACCAGCACTGAAGGGGATCCAGAAAGGACTTCTCTGATACCCAGAACAAAGGTGACACCCTAGCCTCCTAGTCTACTTCCCATGGCATTTGGCAGACCTCGCTCCTCTTTCTCACGGTTGGATATTTGCATCTTTTCTGTCCCCTGGTGGGTGGACACGGCGACAGTCATAGGGTCAGGGACTGTTTGGGTACCAGGGAGTTCCCGGGACTGTATGTTTTTGTACATTGGAAATGAAAATCAGGAGTGAGCCCACTTTTTTACAGGGCCCTATGGAAATGGGTGCATTTATACAGCTACGCCAATTTTGGGTTGGATCCTCTGTTCTGGTCTGAGGGTCACCCCCCGTTGAGCACCTCTGAGGTTGATCCTTGAACAACATAGGGTTTAGGAGTGCAGACCCCCCACCCTCAGCCGTCAAAATCCAAGTATAACATTTCACTCCCCCAAGTTTCACAACGAATAGCCTACTGTTTACCAGATGTTTTTCTGAAAACATCAACAGGTGGTTAACACAGCGATTTTCAACCTTTTTCATCTCACGGCACACATAAACTAATTACTAAAATTAGTAAAATTACTAATTACTAAAATTCTGCAGCACACCAAAAATATACTATATTTTTTGCCGATCTGACCAAAAAAAAGGTATACTTTTGATTCGTTCACACCAGACGGCTATTGTGTTGGCAGTTGTCACTTTTTTATTTGACAATCTAAGGCAGTGGTTCTCAACCTTCCTAATGCCGCAACCCTTTAATACAGGTCCTCATGTTGTGGTGACCCCAACCATAAAATTATTTTCGTTGCTACTTCATAACTGTAATTTTGCTATTGTTATGAATAATAATGTAAATATCTGATATGCAGGATGTATTTTCATTGTTACAAATTGAACATAATTAAAGCATAGTGATTAATCACAAAAACAATATGTAATTATATATGTGTTTTCAGATGGTCTTAGGTGACCCCTGTGAAAGGGTCGTTCGACCCCCAAAGGGGTCTCGACCCACAGGTTGAGAACCGCTGATCGAAGGGAAAGGAGCTCAGAGCCCCTGACTAAATAGTCAGGAATCCTATGTCTTAAAAATTCTTGTGACACACCAGTTAAAAATCACTGGGTTAACACATATTTTGTATGTTATATGATTACATAATGTAGTCTTACAATAAAGTGAGAGAAAAAATGGCATTGAGAAAATCATAAAGAAGAGAAAATACGTTTATAGTATTTTTTTTTTAAATCCGCCTATAAGTGGATCCACACAGTCCAAACCTGTATTGTGCAGGGGTCAACTGCATATGCCAGCTCTGGACTAAGGTTGAATACGGTGTGCAGTGTGCGAAGGCTCTGACCCAAACAGCCTGGGTCCGAGTTCTGTCTCCTCCACGGGGAATTCGAGTCTGGTTTTCTCATTCGTCAAATGGGTTCAACAATAGTATCTACCTCAGAAGGCTGTTATTCCAAGGATTAAACGAGATAGTTTATGCAAAATGTTTTGTGCGATGCTGGCACATGGTAAGCACACAATGTGTGCAAGTGAAAGAAATGAAACAAGTGCTCTCCTCATTTTCCAGCTAAAACACTGAGGCCTGCCCTGGCCGGTTTGGCTCAGTGGACAGAGCGTTGGCCTGCGGACTCAAGGGTCCCAGGTTCGATTCCGGTCAGGGGCGTGTGCCTTGGTTTCGGGCACATCCCCAGTAGGGAGTGTGCAGGAGGCAGCTGATCGGTGTTTCTCCCTCATAGATGTTTCTAACTCTCTATCCCTCTCCCTTCCTCTCTGTAAAAAATCAATAAAATATATTTAAAAATATAAAAAATAAAAATAAAACACTGAGGCCTGGAGAGAGAAGGCACATCACAGCCAGCAAGGCCAGAGCTGAAATTCCCAAACCAGTCTGTCTGGTCACAGGCGCCTGCCCCTGCCCACTCTCCTGCACATGCATGTGAGATTGCCTTGTGTGTACCCCGCTTTCTCCCACACTGACTTATTCCCATGTGTCTCAATTCTGTGTTGAACTTTGTAGAAGACTATCAATTCCATCAACGCCGTCCTCTACAGTCAGGGAGAGGAGACACCTTTCGCTGACTGCTATTCCCCCACTCACCCTCCACCCATTACCTACCCGTTCTTCAAATCGTTCCCTCTCAGTGACCCTTCTCTGAATAGTCTATTGCGCGGATCTCTTTTTCCTCTGAAGTAGTACGTATTCTGACAAGTCATCACGCTTTGTTGTGCCGTCTCTTCTGCTTTTTGACTTTCTCACACATCAATGTCTTGATTTTTGAAGTAAAACATGAGCTCTTGAAAATCATAACAGGGAGAAAATACATTTATAGTATTTTTTTTTTAAATCCACCTGTAGCGTTTGGATGGCGTTCTCTCCTCCTTCAGGTCTAGCAATTCACACAGTACCGTGCGGACCACTCAGTACATTTCTGATTGATTGCAATGCACACATTTAGCTGATTATCTCAATGTTCTATTAACATGGTGAGATGCAATTTAGAGGTAAATAAATTTTTATATAGGTACATTTGGTACTATGATAATTTAATCCACACAGAATTTCTGAGCTTGTTACAACACCCTAAAAATATTATTTTTTTCCTGATTGGAAAAAAGATACATATTAATTGCACAAAACTTTGATAATAAGAGGTAGTATCAAGAATTAAATAAAAACATTATCCACAATACCAATACCTAGTTTTGTTAGCATTTAGGCATATTTTCTCCCTTTTGAACAAAGTATATTTAAATAAAATCCCCAATTTTCATAAATCTATATTCATGAATAAATTTATATTTTATATACAGAATTATTGTCCATGAACTATTCTGGGTTTGGTGAATTGGATGAGGTGATTTAGAGAGAGTTATTACTAAACTAATATGGTAGACAAAATGCTTAATGACCCAGAGTGCTCTTTCTTTACAAATTTTCATCCTTTTGTTGTTGTTGTTGTTATTGTTAATCCTCACCCGAGGATATTTTTTTCAATTGATTTTTAGAGAGAGTGGAAGGGAGGGAGAGAGGCAGAGAGAGAGAAACGTTGATATAAGAGAGACACATCAATTGGTTGCCTCCCACACGCACCCCAACTAGGGCCGGGGATCCAGCCTGCAACCAAGGTATGTACCCTTGACAGGAATCGAATACGAGACCCTTCAGTCTGAGGGCCGATGCTCTAACCACTGGGAAAACCAGCCAGTGCGAATTTTCATTCTTTTTATGTTTACTTGTTGTGATCACATTGTATGTAGCAAAATATAGCTGTATTGAACTTTTTCACAGAACAGACTTCTTCCCCAGATTTATTCTTCCTACACATAATTTTATTTTATTTATTTTTTAAATATATATTTTTTTATTGATTTCAGAGAGGAAAAGAGAGGGAGAGAGAGATAGAAATATCAATGATGAGAATCATTGATTGGCTGCCTCCTGCACGCCCCACTGGGGATCGAGCCCGAAACCTGGGCATGTGCCCCTGACCTGAATCAAACCTGGGACCCTTCAGTCTGCAGGTGTTAGCTGAGCCAAACCAGCTAGGGCCCTAAACATAATTTTAAATGTCTGTAACATTCCATTCTATACCTGTTTTAGCCCATCTTGACTGTTATTATTTTTTCCAGGTAAATTTTAGAATAATTTTAAATTATCAAAAATTCTCACTGTAATTTTGATTGGAATTAAATTAAACCAAGAAATCAACTTCAATTTGATTTTGTTTTTAGCCTTCTAGTTTTCCAATCTGAAACATGTCTTTCTATTAGTTTAAGTCTTTTAGATTTCTCAGTAAATTCCTATTGTTTTCTTCAAAATTACTTTCTTATAAATAAAATTATTCTTAGATATATCTATTGTGATGGTTGCTAAGGCTCATGGATGCCCATCCCCCACAATTCTATTTTCTAACTGGCTGGTACTGGAATAATAGAAAGAATAGCTGGGAATTTTAGAATATTTATCATGCCCTCAGGACTTCCCTGAGCAGTCTTGTTAATTTCACTAGTTTTTCAATAGATTCTTTGGGGATTTCTAGGTATAAAATCACATATTTTGCAAATAAGGATGAATTTGACTTCTCCTTGCCCAAAACTACACTTTCATTTCCTTCATGCATCGTTATTAGCTCGGGCTCCATTGCCAGCCCACCAGGGCACAAAGCCCCATTAATTCTTCTCATTATCTTGAGCAAGTACTTAACTTCTCTGTGTCTTACTTTTGTCCTCTGTAAAATAGAAATAATAATATATCTACCTTTAGGGTAATTGTGTGAATTGGATGAGTTAATATATGTAAGTGTCTGCCACATAGGACATGCTCAATAAATATTCAATAACCTTATTATCATAGATTGAAGGTTGGAGGAACGTCAAACTTCCAGGAATTAGAATTTCCAGAACTAACTTTTTAAAAAATGGTTATAGCAGACATCCTTGTTCTCAAATAACTGCTAAAATACTTTACCATTTTGGTAAGAAGTTGATTATTGGTATAGAAGAGATATTCTTTGTTAGACTAAGAAACAATCCTCATATTTTTATTGTATAACTTAAAAATAAAATAAGAAATGAGCATTCAATTTTACAAAATGTCTTTTGGCATTTACTGAGATCACTATTTTAAATTTTAGTTTACTGATGCTGTATTTATATTACATAAAAGGCAGTTCCTTGTAATGATTGATATTTAGGCTGTGAAGTCAGATGGGTTTGAGTTTAAAACTTGACTCTTCCAGAGGGGAGACCAGACAAGTTGCTCAACCTCATCCAGCCTACTGTTCTTGTCTAGGAAATGGCGATAATGTCTGTTTTTGTAGAGCTAAAGGATAAAAGCACACAGAAAATACTCACCATTCATTTTCATCATTGTAATAACTGAATCCTGGACATCCCTGGAGTAACTTCTTGATATCTATGTATATAAAAGCCTAAGTGACCATTACGACCAGTTGACCGAATGACCGGTCAACCGGTCACTATGACGCACACTGACCATCAGGGCAGACACTCAATGCTGGAGCTGCCCTCTGGTGGTCAGTGCACTCTCACAGCCAACCTCCCCTGGCTGGCCAACCTCCTGCAGTCCCTCCCCCTGGCTGGCCAACCTTCTGCGGCCTCTCTCCCTTGCCGGCCCTGATCAGGACTGGGCAAGACAGCCCCAATCAGCCCCGATCGCCAGCCAGGCCGAGGGACCCCACCCGTGCTCGAATTCGTGCACCAGGCCTCTAGTTATTATATATTTACCTCTGCATTCATAAGTGAGATGATCCTGGACAGTTTCCCATCTTTTTGCCTTGGATTTGCTTATGTAGCATAAGAATCACATGTTCCTTAAAAGTTTCAAATAACTCATTTGTAAAACTAGTATATAGACACCAAGTTTTAGCAGATAATTCTAGTAATGCTTTTAATTTCTAAATAATAATAGCTGTCATTTATTGGATGCTTATTACTATGTGACAAAAGCTATAATGACTGCTTCACACATCTCATATTTCATCCTCAGAAGTCGGTGTCATTTATATTCATCGGAGAATCAGTTATTATTGTTCCCATCTTACAGATCAGAAAGTTGAGGCTTTGAGAGGGTAAACAGCTAAAGAGACCAAGCTCTTGCAGAGAATGAGCTGGGATGTGAGGCCAGGCTGTCTGACTTTAGCAGCAAGATAGCATGCTGCTTCCCAAACCTCTTTCTTGTCTTTTTGTTGCGGTTTTGATCTCTTTAAGTTTTCTGTGCCTATGGCATCAGTTTTGCTAGTTTATAGTTTTTTAGGAAATCATTAATTTTACTGAGATTTTTTTTTAATCCCTTAGTAGTCTCACAATTTTTATCTCTGTTTCTGTGGCTATATTCATTCATTATTAGTTCAGTTTATTTATGTTTTCTCCCTTTCTTGATTATTCAAAACTGTATATTAAATTAGGAGAAAATATCTAGTCATGTGGAGGAGGCTAAGGTGTGTTTTTTTAAATATTCTCTTTCCCTCTACCTTTGTTTCCCTTTTCCCATCCTCTACCCTAGCCTTTAAAGAACAGAACGCTTAGGGACAGAAAGAGCCTTAGGGGCACTTTGGGGAGCCCTTAACTCAGCAGGGCCTGGAAAGGACTTCTACCTGTCTCGGGTCACGCAGTTAGCAGGTGACAGACAGGAGGAGCCAGGCTCTCATCTTCCTGTCTCGTTTTCTTTCCACTATACCACACAACGTGTTATAGCTCAAATTATTAATCTTTTATCCTCACCCGAGGATATGTTTATTGATATTTTTTTAGAGAGAGAGGAAAGAAGGGGAGGGAGAGAGAGAGAGAAACATCAACGTGAGAAACATCGATCAGTTGCCTCCCATACATGACCAGGATACCATGCTGCTTCCCAAACTTCTTTCTTGTCTTTTCGTTTCGGTTTTGATCTGGTTAAGTTTTCTGTGCCTATGAAATCAGTTTTGCTAATTTATAGACCAAGGATTGAACCCGAAACCTACGTATGTGCCCTGACCAGGAATCAAACCCAAGACCTTTTGGTGCACAGGACAACGCTCCAACTAACTGAGCCACCCGGCCAGGGCAAATTATTATTTTTTTTCTCCATTTTTTTCTTTATTTGTTTCTCTTGTTTGGGGCAAATTATTAATTTTTAAAACAATAAATTAATGAAGATTGCAAAATAATCTTAATAAAAGCTCTAAAAATGTTAATGCTACTTAATTTTAAAAGATCACTATAAATCATCTTCTTGTTTGGGGCAAATTATTAATTTTTAAAACAATAATTTAATGAAAATTGCAAAGTAATCTTAATAAAAGCTTTAAAAATGTTAAAGCTACTTAATTTTAAAAGATCACTATAAATCATCTATTGTGCTCCTGCTTTAAACCACTTTCTAGAATGACTATCCTAGGAAAGCAGGCGTCAGGCAGGAAGAGGCGCGTCTTCATCGCTTCGCCCCTGACAGGTTTGCTGCATTACTAGGAAGGCCCTGCGAGCTCCTTTATCAGCGGGAGGGGCAACAATAACATGGACCCAGCCTAAGCGGGGGTCTCAGGGTTTCTACCAGGTCTGAAGGGAACAGAGGAAAAGCTCTCTGCTGAAGGGTGGACTTGGGGCGCCTGCGGGGTTACTGCGTTAGGGTGGGTCTGGGCGTCAAACTCCGCAACGTGAAAGGGGGCGGGACAGCTCCCATACTGATGATGGAACAAGGTGTACCAACTCCCACATGGTCCGGACAGTTTTCACAACAGAATTACCTGAAATTGCTCATTTCCCAGGTGCTGGGTATGTGTGTGTGCAGATGAGCAGATGTTTCTGCCGACTGCCTGATCAGCAGTCTGCAATTATACCCCCGGGAACAAGCTGCTCGCTGTGGTTAGGGGCCATTAGCCACTGAAATAATGACATCTGTCATGATTTTCATACCTCATCCTGTCCTGGATCTTATCTCCAAACTACGCAAAACGAATACCTAAGGTTCCTAAAATAGACCAACCCAGTTTTAATAGCTCTGCTCTAGCCGCCATGGTGGTGAGTGTTTGAGGTTGAATAATACCTAATAATTATTGAGTGTTTTCCTCATGCCTGGCATTGTAGAAAGTTCTGCCCTGGCCGGTTTGGCTTGGTGGATAGAGTGTCGCCTGTGGACTGAAGGGTCCCAGGTTCGATTCAGGTCAGGGGCACATGCCCAGGTTGCAGGCTTGGCAGCCAATCAATGATTCTCTCTCATCATTGATGTTTCTATCTCTCTCTCCCTCTTCCTTCCTCTCTGAAATCCATAAAAATATATTAAAAAAAGAAAGTTCTTTACGAACAGCATCACTCGCCAAGCCCACCCAGGTACTATCCTTCTCCCCCTATTACAGGTACAGTAACCAAGTCACTGAAAAGTTCAATAATTCACATCTAGAAGGGAACAAACCTTGGATCCCCATTTCATCCTGTTTGACTCTCCTGCTGTATCCTGGCACAGAGACTGTGCGCCATTTGGCTAGCAAGATGCTCATATATATTGAGACGATGCAATGAAGTCTAGGCCAGTGGTTGGCAAACTGTGGCTCACGAGCCACATGAGGCTTGTTGGCCCCTTGAGTGTGGCTCTTCCACAAAATACCACGTGCGGGCGCACATGTACAGTGTGATTAAAACTTCATGGCCCATGCGCAGAAGTCGGTATTTTGTGGAAGAGCCACACTCAAGGGGCCAAAGAGCCGCATGTGGCTCGCGAACCGCAGTTTGCCGACCACTGGTCTAGGCAACCTAGTTTTGTATAAGGAGCTAAATAAGGTATTGGGTCTAAAATAATGGAACATTTATTTAATGCAGTGATCTCAACTGGGGGCAACAGCGCCTGCCTCAGGGGGCATTTGGAAATATGTGGGGTCATATTTGGTCATTGTGGTTGCTGCACTGACCTGTCACATTGGTGGGCTCTCAGGATGCTAAATGCCCAGCCGTGTGCAAAACAGTTCCGGGCAACAAGGAACTGACTGGCTCCAAACATCAGAGACGGCTAAGAAACACTGACAAAGTAGACCAGTAGGACTTTAAAATGATTCTATAAAAGTCAAGGATGGCAAGCTCAAATGCCCTCAGGGATCAGCCAGGGGCTAAAGAGTACATGTCCCTAAATCTTTAAAGCACATCATCAAACAAAATAGCCTAGGCACCAGCTTTGGTCTGTGGGCCCCAATTGAGCTTTTTAATGGCGTTTTTTTCTGATTTCAAAACATATTTATAATACACTAAATGAAGAGAAACAGCTGCTAATTAGTATGATCCCATGTTTTAAAATGAATATATATATGTATATATATATATTCACACATTCACAAAGTATTTCTTATGAAAATATATAGACAATTTCATGGAATAAAATTTAAGGTGATTTTATAAAATGCTTTGCTGATTTTATGAAATGCTTCCACTATAAATATCTATTCATTGTTTCATTTTTAATAAATAAAGGATAAGAGGAACCTTAAAAAATTTAAACTTTGAGTGTGGTATCAGAACCCAGCCCTGGTATCTTTCTGGCCACCCACTTCGATGGGAGAAGGAGAACGATTTCTGTGATTAAGGACATATGAGACATTCAACATGAAGTAAATCAATACCAAAGCATAAAGCCTGGCCTGTGTGGCTCAGGGTTTGAGCATCAACCCATGTACCAGGAGATTATGGTTCGATTCCCAGTCAGAGCACATGCCCGGGTTGCGGGATCAATCCCCAGTGTGGGGCGTGCAAGAGGCAGCCAATCGATGATTCTCTCTCGTCATTGATGTTTCTATCCCTCTCTCCCTCTCCCTTCCTCTCTCTCTGAAATCAATAAAAAGATATATTTTTTAAAATACCAAAGAGTGCCTTAAAAGTGGAACGCTGTTGATTTTGCAGACATACTGGCCTAGCTCCGGCTGTTTGCCGCAATCAAGCTCTCCTGGTCAAGTCCAGTCTTCCTTTGGCAGCTGCCCCAGAAATCAGTCCGGTCCTGAGATTTGCTTGAGAAGTAAGTATCTGCACTAAAACATATCTGCACCCTTTTTCAATCAAGGCACCAAATCCTTCACGATCATTGTTTTTCCTGAATACCCCGTCTCGCTTTATCTGGATCATCCCTGCGTTTTCTTTGCAGCGTCTTAGTTCTGCGGTTTCCATTCCGTGCACAGTCACGTGGGGCTCTGGGAGAGGAGCGCCAATGGCCCCAAGCAGCTGACTTGCCTGAGGAGAACTGGGTTCGCGTGAGGCCAGGAGTCCTGACCAGAGCTGCCTTGCCTCCCGCAGGTCTCCTGACGGGTCTGCTGGCGCCACTACTTGGAAACGAGGTACCCAGGGTGGCTCCTCTCAAGTCTCTTCCTGCTGCACCGGGAAGCGCCTGAGCCCCACTCACAACCCCAGGCCGCCCTGCAGGAAGCTGGCCATGATGACAGAGTGAGTGAGGTCCCATCAGGCTAACAGCTATAGCTGGCTTCCCAGGGTGCACCCTCCCGTCCCTGGCTTCCCAGGCCTTACTGTCCAGAGAGCAGACACACAGCAACACCAGAGGGCGGCCTCTGGCTCCGGGCAGGGATGGGTTTGCAGCTGTATTGGCATCTCTGTAGCTTCTCACTCTGACCCCTCTCCTTTCCCAACAGAGGCATGCAGCTCTGGCACGGCTTAGTGATCGCATTCGTGTCCCTGGTCCTACAGGCCTGCCTGCTCGCAGCCATCTACTACCTGCTCAGCAGACACATGGGTAACCGGCTCGGCGTCCTCTCCCCTCCTGGTTACCCCCAGGGACCATTCCCAAGCTGGCAGCAAGGCCAGCCCCCTCTGGAGTCCCCGAGTATCACTTGCAAACCTTGAGGATTCACTGGCCAAATGGCCCCTCATCCTGACCGGGTAGTCCCCACTCTGACCCAACCTGTTTCTGGTTGGGAATCGCGGCCCGGAGCCCTTCCACTACCTGGCCCTTCTGCCTAGAGACAGGCTTCTGTAATGCTCGTGAGGGTGGCCTCACTGAACCTGGGCCTAGTTAATTTTCCTCATCACCACAAAGGACTGACCATGAAGAAAGGGCTTTGAATTGCTACAGAAGGCAGTATGGTTGGGTTAGACTAAGAGACCATCTTCAATTCTTGAACTGCTTCACAATGGGGAGTAGAGAAGCTGTGTCTTGGGAAGACATTGCAATTAGGGAAAATAAAACATTTCTTTGGCCAAGGCAGGAGATTGGGCAGGATAATGCCATGAAGGTTTTTCCAGTAAAGGAAGTCGAGACTTCTCTTCATTCATCCATCCATTCATCCATCCATCCCTCCATCCATTCATTCATTAATTCATTCATTCAATACAACAGGAAACAAACAAACAAAATCCCTGCCCTTAGGTAATTTACATTCCTTGGGGGTACAGACAACAAATAAGAGAAGTAAAATACATGGGTTAGGCTATGGAAAGTGCTAGGGAGGAAAAAAGCATGGCAAGGGATACAGATTGAGTGGTGGCCAGCATCCCTGAGATGCTGACATTCTATCCTATATAATAAAAGGCTAATATGCAAATCGACCGAACAGGGGAATGACCGGTTGCTATGATGAGTACTGACCACCAGGGGGACAGATGCTCAATGCAGGAGCTGCCCCCTGGTAGTCAGTGTGCTCCCACAAGGGGAGCTCTGCTCAACCAGAAGCCAGGCTCCTGGCTGGGGAGTGTAGTGGTGGTGGCGGGAGCCTCTCCCACCTCCGCAGCAGTCAGACATCCCCCGAGGGCTCCTGGACTGCTAGAGGGCACAGGCCGAGCTGAGGGACACCCCCCTCACCACCCCCCCCCCAGTGCATGAATTTTGTGCACCAGGCCTCTAGTTTGATTATAAACTTGAGGGAAGCGAGGAAGTGACCTGCACCTGTAAAGGCCCTGAGACAGGAGAGCGTTTCACACATCACAGCAGGAGCAGAGGCTGGGTGGCTGGAACAGAGGAGGTAGCTTGAGAGAAGGAGGTGAGGCCAGAGAGGAAGAAGGAGGGAGGCCATGGAGGGCCTTCAAGGTTGGGACTTCGGCTCCTTATCCAAGTGAGATGAGGGGCGTCACAGTGGAGGGGGCTGAGATGTGAAAAGATCCTTCTGATCGTTTTCCCTAAGGAGAGTGGTGCTCAGAAATGGGAGGTGCCTGCCCCGGGGAGCTTTCACTTTGGACTCTTGCCCTGTTCCCTCTAGCCAAAGAGAACGAACAGTTACTCAGAAGATCCAGGCTCTGGGCCCCCAGGCCCAGCCCTGCTCACCACGGCTCACCTGCTGCACAGGAGACGAAGGAGACCGGGGCAGAGAGAAGCACCCCTGCGCGGGAGTCCCGTTACAGGAGTGAGTGACGGGGCTGGGGAAACACGGTCATAAAGTGTATTGTGCTCCGTGTACCCAGCCGGAGAGCCTCCCCGCAGCAGCCCAAGTCTGTCCTTGCCGCCCAAACCCAGCCCGGATTCCTCCCATCCACCCCAGTAGAGGCCTCGCTACCCTATCTTTTCCAGAAAGTCATTCATCCCATCAGTGGGGCAGACCTGGTTGGGTGTGTGTGGGTCTAAGCCAGGGGTCCTCAAACTTTTTAAACAGGGGGCCAGTTCACTGTCCCTCAGACCGTTGGAGGGCCGGACTATAGTTTAAAAAAAAACTATGAACAAATTCCTATGCACACTGCACATATCTTATTTTGAAGTAAAAAAACAAAACGGGAACAAATACAATATTTGTATTTGCATGTGGCCCACGGGCCGTAGTTTGAGGACCCCTG